AGAGATAAGAGGATGAGACTGGCACCTCCCTGAGGAATTCACTCTGTCTTGACTGGCTGACTTTGGGAAATGAGGTCTCAGTCTGGGAAGATTCTTGCTAGAGGTTGTACCTAATAAACATTGCTGAACTGAATCTACATGGTCTCCTGGAGTTCCTTGGGCTAGGCCTGACATCAATGGCTGGCTGGGGAATTCTGGGAGTTGAAGTCCACCCGTCTTAAAGTGGCCAAGTTTGGACAACACTGATTTACTATGAGACATTCTATAATCTCCTGTTGAGATTTAAATATTTGAAGGGCCTATTCTTATCGTGACCTCTCTCTATATAATATAATATTGGATACTTAAAATAGTGATTGGTACACAAAAACTGTACTTCAATCTTGATATTGCTGAACTATCTGGGGAAGAAAGAGCATAAATATCATTTAGAGAAGATCAACAACAAAATGTTAAAAGGTAACACATTTAAAATACTTCAATAACTCCTACTGTAAAAGATTTGTAATAAATACAACAGATTAGCAAATCCGGCCAGTATTATCAACATCACCACTTTGGCAGTGGTAGTGGTAGTGATGGAGGGGGAGATATAGTGGTTACATTTTTGAATTCTGAATTACAGTAGAGTCTCGCTTATCCGACATAAACGGGCCGGCAGAACGTCGGATAAGCGAAAATGTCGGATAACACACAGTAACGATTGAGTGCGGTAAAAAAAAAAAAAAAAACGATCCGCATAAAATAACAAACTGCACTGAGGGACCATTAGGAAAGGCGAGACATGACCGACACATGAGTCATAGGCTAGACGCACGCGCCTGCTGCGCCTGTTGCAATCAATTTTTGCATTGCGGCGCCGCACCGTCAGGAGCAACAAGAAAGAGGACACTCACGCTCGCAAACAAACGGCACGCTTTTCTCGTCGCCGATTTATGCGTGTTGTGTTTTTTTTAGGGGCGTCAGATAAGACGGAATGTCGGATAAGCAAAGGTCAGTTAAATGTGACTCTACTGTAAGAGTTATGCATTGTAAATCCATAGCCTTTTGTCTTAGCACTGTACGTCACTGGCATTTCAATCAACAGCAAACCCTTATATCTGTACCTATAACCTGTCAGAATAATTTCTTTTTGCCAATAGTTGAGGAAAACTATTGAGAATTGAGAATTCTCTGAGGCTGCTTGGGACCAACACAGGCAGGTACTCATTGCTTGTGCTAATTCAAGATTACCTGTATCCCAAAACATTTATCACTCCAATGCTGGGGCATCCTTTTTCTGACATACATTGTTACAACTTTCATATGCACATTTATCTACCTACCTACCTACTTAACCCCCCACCCGCTCCACTGCAGCACAAAAAAAATGAGAAGGTAAGTAAAATGAATATTAACTTTGAAAATTGTCATATTGTATCAAATAAAGATCCATCCGGTTTACCATTCCTGATGAAAATACCTCCAATCAGTATGGCTTAAACGGTCCCTGGAAATAGACGAATAAATGGTCAACTCCTGGGTCACAAAACCTTCCTCCCAGCCATGCTCAGAAGTTTTATTTCCAAATTAGGTATGCATTTTATAGGAGCCTCCTTATAAAACCCTTGTGGGCAGCAAGGGTTGGATTTGCTTTTATGAACTGGTATTAAGTCGGCCAGCAGGACTGGCTGAAACGCCTATTTATTCACCCAGTTTTCTTTGTAATTAGTAAAGCATTGCACTAATCTACTTTTTGGCAAGTGAATTTGGGAGGGAGAGATGCTCTTTATAAAACTTTGCCTTATGGAAATAACACAAATACAAATTTGCACAACAGTTTTTTTAAAAATCTGCTTTTTAATAGGATCAGTTTAGTTTAGTAAGATGTTATTCAAATCCACATTAAGGGATCAAATGCTCGTGCATCATAGATCTCAACATTAATTTCTACTTACGTTTTTCAATGCAAAATGAGTGAATAATATTTCCATTATGCCTGTGCAAATGTAGATGAAGTGAAAGGTCACCTGAGTAATTGCTGATAATTCTGCGTGTAGATAAATGGAGGCAGAAGGGTATGAGTTAATTAATTTATAGCTGTTAACAAGTTATTTATGGAATTGATTTACAAAGAAATAAGTATTCTGAAGAATCAGAAGGCCACGTTCTAGGAGAACAGATTTACAGGACAATTAAATCCAGTTTGATTCCT